TTGGAGATACCAGTTGAAATAATCTAAACACTCTGAATATTAAAAACTAAGTCTTTAATGAGATGAAGCTGTGATCTGGAAGTTGGATGGAGTGATTGCTTTGTTGGTATACAGAGCTGCATCTAAGTCAACCCTCTTGAAAATGTTAATTAGCACCAAACAAAGAACAATGGAAGATGTCTGCTTTTCTCCTTGGAGACCAAGATAGGGACAAGTCGTTTTGCATGTGCCCAGAATGTGAAAATGGCAAAGAGATTTAAATAACGAATTTTAATAAGTTTCATCCCACTGGGAGAGACACTTCTGATTATCTGTGACCTATACAAATTATCATGATTCTCCCTACTGGCCTACCATAATTTTAATAACTAATCAAACTAAGCTTGAAGGTTCTGCGAAATGCCAAATATATACAAGTGCTTTCGCTAGTTACAAAGCTAGTACTTGCTACCTGACCTTTTTACAATTTCTCCAAGTACTTAGTCACACTCCAGCCACAGGTTTAAATGCTCAGCGTTGATTTGGTCCTTATTGATCCTAGGCTGCTACCTATTTGGGCTGAGAAATGACCTTCTGTGGACATCTAGGGAGGCTTGCCCTGCTGTGAGAAGAATTTCAAAAGAAGTTTGGCTAGAAATTTAATGCAGATCTGAAAAGGTTGCTAGTGAAGCTACATGTACTGGAATGAGATACAATAAGTCCCTAGTGATGGTCCAGGCCCAGGCAAGTACCTAAGCACAGCAGGTCCACCAATAAGCTGGCAGAAGGTTAATGAGGGCAGAGCATGTAGAAATAGGTGCTTCGGGCTCCTAGGAGATTTCTTTACCTTTCTCCAGGTTTCAATCTATTTCCTTACTCCAGCCTCACTCCAAATTGTAACTAACATATTGGGAGTTTAAGCTGAAAAACCTCATTAAAATCTTGTTCTCTTCTCCTGCCCTGTGATTTGGCTTTTGCATCCTTGACTCTACACTAGTACTTTTAAAACTTTAATGTGCTTACCAATCACCCAGGGATTTTATTAAAGTGTAGATTGTGAATAGGTCAGTAGATCTGGCATGGGGCCTAAGATGTGAATTTCTAACAAGCTCCCAGGTGATGCCTCTGCTATTGTACCAGATCACAGCATATGTAGCCAGGCCCCAGTTGCTACTTCCTAGCCCCAGAATTTATGATGCAGTTTTCTTGGGGTGCGGCCAGGAATTTGCATTTCTACTTAGTTCCCAAATGATGTCAATGGTCACGGTCTACACACTGAGAACCACGGCCTTAGCCTGCTGCTCCCAACTCATTTGAGCTATCATTACTCAGAAGGGCAGGTAGCCGCCCCCTCCCCTGACATGTGCTGGTTCCTCCTACACTCTTGGCATTTTTTTCAGGGATGTGAGTTGAAAGATAATCATCTTCTCACTCTTCAGGTGTCTGTAAAATAGAAAGAAAAGAAAGCCTGCCAAAGTTGAAGAATATCTCCCAACCTTTTAGACACTAAAATGCTATAGTAATAGAGAAGAAATAGCAAAACAAAGCAAAACAAAATCACGCAACTACTCAGATTAGAGGCTGGAATTAAAAACTGATAGACAGCCTGCTCTACATCATCCTAAAATTAACTGTGCCTGGTGTCAGACTAAGGCTCCTGCCTAGACAGTGTAGTAAAGATATCACCTTGTTAACCACTGCCAAGAGCCCCAGCAGGCAGGACTCATAGTCCTGTTCATATCAGGGCTTCACACTGTGCTCACACTTTTGCAGGCATCAGAATGCCCCTGGAGGACTGTTAAAACAACAACTGTTGACCCAGAGTAGGGCCTGAGAACTTGTGTTTCTTAAAAGTTCCATTACTCATTACTCAGGATTGGTGCCCAGTCACACTTAGAGAACCACTCAACTTAACCCCCCTGTTTTACTTGCTTCAGTTTTAGACCAATTAAGAAATGGCAGCACTGGAAAGGAGACTAAAATGGTATGTTTGCTGATGAAGCTGAAATGGCATAGGCAGAGGTTGTCAATGGATTTTTTAAGGCTGAACCCCAGAATTAGACCCACTCATGGGCAGCACTGGATCCTGTGAGCATCCCTTTATGGGGACCTGCCCATGAAAAATGTAAGACATGGAGAAGCAGAACGGTGACACACGCTCCCTGCAGTCAACTAGCTCCTGATGAGAATGAAGAGAAGAAGGGGCCGAGATAGGCAAGCTCAGTTTCTTCTATCAAACCGATCAATCCGGTAAAACACTCCACACTCCCAAATAATGCAGGAAATGAGGGAACAGAGAGAGACCAATGAAGGATGGAATAATAGATGTCCCTATCTTAGAAACAGGAATAGTCAATCACTAGCCCTCCTCCCAAAGAAACTAAGGTCAAAGTTTGCCAACCCACTCCCACCCCAAATGCCAGGCCTTCCCACCCCCACCCAAAATAAGTGTAGCTAGCAACTAAATTGAGTTCAAATTCTATCTCACCTCTCTGAGCCTTAGCATTACATCTACACCATTGGTATAATATAATAAGTCTTATCTTCAGTGATCTTTGTGAGGATTAAATGAACTATCATTTTATATCTAGGAGGGACTCTCCATATAATAATTTTCTTTCCTTCACCTCTTAATCTTGTGACTTGATATGATGAAATATATCATATTGTACTTGCTCTTAAAACACCTGCAATTGAGAAAAAGTATAGAAATATGAAAATGTTAAATACGGTATGAGGCAGTTTTGAAACTATAAAGAGAAATTAATGTGAAGACTAAAGGAGATGATACGTAAAATACTTGGTGATTAGTAGTTGCTTAGTTTAACATTTTTCTAAAAATCTCAGTTCAAACTGGAAGATTGGGAAACAGCATACAGTTGTCTAGCAGTACTCCATAGGAACTTCGTGGCTTTGGTTGGCTTAAACTGCTAATACTGGGAGAAAGTAACGGTATTTGAGGGTTGGGCCATAGCATGGGCCGAGGCTTAGTCCTTCAAGGGACCAGCGAGACACGCGGACAGCCCTGGATGGGTGGTCACTTGCTCTGTTCACAATCAGTTCTGGTCCTGAGCCAACCACCAGACTTAAAAGGTCCCCAAGCTGGAGTCTTTTATATCATTCCCCATTCAGGTTGCAGGCATTGAGAGCACACAACTAATAGCAGTTTCTCTGCCTTTTATGTATAATGACTCGATTGATTTGAATGTCAGAGCATGTCTCTACGTCTTGAGGGCAAGCAGTCCATTCTATGAGGGAACACAGTTATTTTTCTTTAAGTCAATGATTCTCTTTGACTTTGGCTGCACACTCAAATCACCTGGTAGCGTTAAAAATAGTAGCAAGGCTTCACCTTTTATCAATAAAATTCAAATCTCAAAGGGTGGAGGCTGGCATATGTATTTTTTTAAGAGCTCTTCAGATGATTCTACCATGCAGCCTGGGTCGGGAAAGTCTGTTTGTGGCCAAAGCAGCCTGTTCACTTGTGCAGAAATGGCATTTCTAGCATTGATTTTTCTCAGGAATGATTAGGAAGCAATTAACGACAATTAACCAGACTGTGGGCATCCTATGGAAAAGCACCAAACCTGCATGGGATTATGAAATAAAATAACAAGGAAAAACATGTTTTTCAAATGTAAACTGGGATACTGATTTACATGCAAAACAAATGGCCTGGGAAACAAAGTGGCTGTATTTATATAAATGGTTAACCTTTTGTCATGTTTCTAAATCACATGTTATTTTGCTCCCCCTCCAAAAAAAGATTATGAAGACAGAACAACTTAATAAAAACATGTATTTGACTATTTGAGTTGAGTAAGGTCATTTTTTAAATGACTAATAGCTAATTGGATATTTTGTTGCTTAGATAGTCAGCTGTTTAAACAAATATAATGGAGAAAGTAGCAGGACCAGGAAGTATATCTATGTTCGTGTCCAGTTTCCATTCATTAACTCATCAGTTCATTTAATAAATATTTATTGAATTTCCTATTGTGTACCTAGCATTAGTGTAGAAAGTGGTTACACTGTTTTTGTTGCTGTTGTACAGGGTCTGACTGTGTTACCCAGGCTGAAGTGCAATGGCACAATCATGGCTCACTGCAGATACAACCTCCTGGGCTCAAGTGATACTCTCCTACACCCTCCAGAGTACCTGAGACTAAGGTGTGTGCCACTATATCTGGCAACTATCAGTATTGTTGACTAAAGCAGGTTGGTTTCTGAACTTCTGGTATAGGTACTTATAATCTAATGGAAGAATGATGATAGTAAATTATGAGTTGTACTAAGTGCAATGAAGAAAGAAAACAGAATAAGTCTGTGTGTGTTTTGGTGTGTATGTGGGGAGGTGCTCTACTGTGAAAGAATCTGAAGATCCTCTCCGCTCTTCTGAACCAAGACTGCAGGATAAGGTAGAACCAATAGTCAGACATAGAGCGCTATAAGACAGAAGGCCCAGGCAAAGAAGAATTTAGTCTGTGAGAGGCTCTGAAAGATAAACATGTTAAACAAGGAGTTATCACAAACATGCATTCATGATAATTCCTTTTTTACCCCCGTTTGTTCTTTTGTATGTCTTTATTTTTTCTTTTAAGTTCAATTGAAGTCAATATTATTGAGTATTTTCTATGTGTCAGTAGTTAAGATAGTCTGAGACAGTATAAGAAAGAAATTAAAACAAAACAGAAAAACAAAAAACCTGATAGGAGAAAAAATCCTGACCTAAGAGAGGCATATTGTACTTGCTCTAAAAAAGATAAAAAGAAAAAAGAAGAGGAAAACCCTGCAATCTTGAGAAAAAGTATAGAAACATGGAAACATTAAATACAATATAAGGCAATGTTTTGAAACTATAAAGACAAATTAGTGTGAAGACTAAAGGAGATGATATGTAAAATGCTTAGTGATTGATTAGTAGTGGCTTAATTTAACAATTTCTAAAAATTGTGGTTCAAACTGGAAAATTGGGAAAGAATGTAGAGTTGTCTCTAAGAGCAACATGCATGCAAGTTATGAAAGTGTGTGCAGTCAGAAAAAGGCAAAGGAAGGTGTCCAGCTTTCCCTGGGGGATCTGCAGCATCAGGCAGAAACTTTTCCATGAGAAGGACCTCATGGACCTCAGGGAATCATGGAGATGATCCAAGGATGTTTATTGGCAACAGTTGAAGCTGGTGAGGAAGAGCACATTAATTAAAAGAGAAAAACAATGGCTATGCCTAGATAAGAAAACTGGAGAATCAACTCAATTCAGTTTTCCATATGAGTCATCCAACCTGAATGCTTCTAAAAGAATTTACAATCAAAAGTAATTTCATGGTGGTTCTCAGTTTAGGCTGCACATTAGAGTTACCTAGGCAGCTTCTTAAAGCACCGGGATCTAAATCCCAGTGCAGACAAATGACACAGTCTCTGCGGGGAAGGGCCCTCAGTCTTCATATATAGTACCAATTCAATATGGCAAGACCAGTTTCTCCCTTAACCTCTCTCTCTCTCTCTCTTTTTTTTTTTTTTTTTAACCTGGACTAGGCAAATTTACTCAAAGAACCAATTCAAATATTACCTCTTAAGTGAAACATTTATTTATACTCCTAGAAAAAATTCCTTAGCAAAAGAGTTAAGGAAGCCCTGTGGAGTAGTTTGCACACTGACCTTTGCGTGATTGTATGTCAAGTGACACAGTCCTTAAGGGTTTAGTTGCATTAAAATACATAGCACCTAGCTTAATGCCCACAACTTATGAAGTCTTGAATATAGGAAGGGAGGGAGGGAGGGAGGGAGGAAGGAAGGAAGGAGAAAAGGAAGGAGAGAAGGAAGGAAAGAGGGGATAAAGGAAGGAGGGGAGGGAGTAAAGGAAGGAAGGAGGAAGGGAGGAAGAAAGAAAAAAAAGGAGGGAGGGTGGGGAGGGAGAAAGGAAAGAGGGGGGAGGGGTGGGAGTAAATAAGAAAGAGAGATGAAAGGGAGGGAGAAAAAAGGGGAAGGAAGAAGGGTGGGGAAGAGGGAGAAAGAAAGGAAGAAAAGAGGGGAGAGAGAAAAGGAAGAATGGAATGGGGGGGAGAAAGGAAGGAAGAAGGAAGAGAGGAGGAAAGGAAGTAAGGAGAGAAGGAAGGAAGAGAAGTAGGGGGAAGGAAAGGGGGAGGGACTGAGGGAGAAGGAAGGAAGGAAGGAAAAATAATTCATAAATAAGAATGATTAAATTAGTTTGCATACCAGGGTGTGCCATTGGCAGCTGAAGGTGTTCGGGTACCAGAGACCTAAGAGAAAGGGTACAAAAAGGGAAGAGGGAAGTGCCAGTGAGACTACTTGTATGAGGGCTTCTGCAGCATTTTAAACTTACCATTTGATGTTTTTAGTTTTAGAATACTTTCCTCAAATATATATAATAGAAATTAGTAGCCTTAAGTGTGGTCCTCTGACCAACAGCATCTTGGGATTTGTTAGAAATGCAAATTCTCACAACCTTCCCAGACCTACCACACCAGCAACTCTGGGGATAGGGTCCAGCATTCTGATTTTGCAAGCCTTTCCATGTGTTTCTGATGTGTACTTAAGTTTGAGAACCACTGGTGTGAATAAAAGCTGACTTACTTGGGTTGAAACACAGCCAGTAAATAGCTGTTAATCCCTGCTCCCTTTCCATGCAATACACACAAATACAGTCCTGTGGAGTCTCTCTCCTTAGAGTCCCCAAGTCCTCACACAACGAAGTCAAACAAGCTGGTCTTGCAAGTTTGAGCCCCTTCTGTGTTATATACAAGTCTCGGTGTTGCCTGACTCCAGAGTTCTCATGGTTGTCCGCATGTGTACTTTAAGAGGAACTATTTCTGTTGATTACTTTTAGATTCAGACTTTGGCTAAGTCACAGAACTCCAAGTCTAGTGATTGCCAGAACTTTGTGTAATTAAGAAAGAAAAAGTCAGTTAATGCAGTTTTCAGTTTTTGTTTGTGCGGCTCATTCAACTCCGTTCACTTTCTACCAAACAATTCTTCCCTAATATTGTAAACTTCATGACTGGTCCCAAAGCCACCCACACTCTGCAGGCACCATTGATATAGCATATGCTGACCAGATCTCCAAGCTGCCATTTCACCAAATCATATTTTAGACAGTCGAAGTCTTTATTTGAGAAGCAGTCCAATCTGAGGGTTTTTTCTCTCATCTATTTAAAATTTCATAGCTGTGTTAATTTATCAACACTTCTCATTGCATAGCTTCTGAGTAAATTATATATTAATGTTGAATAATAAATCAGAGGGCCAAGTCTATATTACTCATGACATTTTAATAGTATTAATCTGGGATAGCTTTTAATTGTCCATGCTACAGTCTTTAATGCTAAGAAGATATAGATGTTTCCATTATTCTAATTGTATTTCAAATAAATGTACGGGCTCAATTTTTTCCTCTATCTGTTTAGAAATGGCTAAATTAGAGATGTCTCTGCATAAAAAATGAATTATTTTACAGCAAAACTTTGATTAATCACACTGAAAAACAGCAGAAACCTCAACTGTATGTTGTCTGCATTTAGTTTGTCAGAAAATAACAAAAAGTGTCAGAAAATAAGGCTTTATTGTTAAATTAAAAAACAAAATTTTAAAAACTTTCAAAGCTACCCCCTATTCCTTTCATATCTGTAATCTAGTTAAGTGAAAATGGATGGTCAGATAACCTGTGGTCCTTTTAGCTATCAGACAAAAAGTGTCTTATTTTCAAAGGCTTCATTTGCAAGATAAGAAATGGATTAATGCATTTTCCAAGTACTTTCAACAAGACAATTGAGACAAATTGGGTTAATTTTGAAGTTATTGAAAAGACTACTTTCTAAGTATTCCAGTCAATCAAACTTTAATTATAGTAACTAAATATATTGATCATACTTAGAAAAAAAAAGGGAGTTACCCAAAAAAGTGAAATTTCCAGGTAATTGATACTTTGCATATTAAGCACCAAACGTTTGGATATTAACCACTGTGGTTTTAGTTAAGCCATTTGTGGTCTGACTAAACAGAGAACAATGACTGTCTTTAGATATTCCTGATGGCATTTATATCAGTTGGTTTCATTCGTATGAGCGCAGTGAATAAAGAAAGAACTGGTCTATAATGCATTCTTACTTTTCAGACAATGGTACTCAGTATGTTTACATTCTTCTACATTAAGGAGTCCAAGACGGGTGCTGTAAATCTTTTTTTTTTTTTTTTTTTTAAGAAACTTTTTAGTTTTGTCTCCTACTCTGTCTTGGTAGCTACTACTACACTACTGTTTCAAGCAAGACTTTCTACAGAGTTGTTTGGGTCTGCATCTGAAACTGGCTCTCTGTCTATCGTATTTCACAACCAGATGGTTGTGGGGACAAGGCAAGTAATTTGGACCAGAAAAGCAGATCACAAAAGATTTATGTGCTTATGCAGCAGTAGGTCAGATACCAGGGGGATAAGCTGAGATGAAGAGTGCAAAATGAGAGTTCCCAAGTATATGCAATTAGACAGAGTCTGAAAAATTGCCAGGAATTGGTAGGGATAGGCAGTGAGTGGGAATGGGTCAGAACAAAATGATGTCAAAGTGCTAGGCCAAGTAGCAAATAAGAGATTTCTGGAAATTGAAGCAGATGGATGAATTTGGAAAAAAAAAAAAAAAAGAAACAGCATTTGGAATCAGATATATGGAAAAGACACAAATAGAGAGGCAATTGATATTTTAGCTTCAATATTCCTTATTTCTAAATCTTGAAGTCAACCTCTTCTCATCATCTGGACCATTACCACTCTAATCTGAGCTATCATATCTCTTCTCTAAATTCTAATTCTGTAGAAGTCCCTCTAACTGGTCTCCACAGGCAGGAGATGCCATCACTGCCCCACCCAGATCCTCTTTACCAGGCAGTTATGTCCATCCTCCAGGAGCTGTGAGCATTGGCTGCTAATAGTCCCCAGATGCGTCCTTCCTCTGAGAACAGTCCTCAGCATATAGGAAAATACCTGGGAGAATAGTGCACTCTCCCTTTGGCATACATCCCCAGCCAATGTTTAATTGATAACAGGAATCTGAAGGCTGGCTCCTCACATTGAGATGAGATAAACCTGTGGTGCCATGCATGCTCCAGGTATTCCTGTGGGATCAGGTGGAGAGAGACCAGATGTCAGTTAAAGAAGGTCATTGAACTTCTAATCTGGAAATATTTTACTTTCTTCAATTACTTACTGTATGTGTGTGTGTGTGTGTGTGTGTGTGTGTGTGTGTGTGTGTGTGTATTTAATTTACCAGGCCCTCTCCCACTTGGACAATTGCCTCTCTCTCAAACCCCTCCTTCTGGGAAACCTGATATAAGATACACTGTTTTCACATTTGTTGCCCTGCAGCATAATAAGTAAATACAATTATTTAACTTAGTATAATACCGTATGATTTGCCAAAATTGTATTTTTAATTTTATTCTAGACAGAAGAAATTTTATATCATTAAAATGAATGAAATTTGTATTAAAAAGGATAAAGAGCACAACTCAATTTCTGACTTCATGAAGATTCAATATTGTTTCTTACTCATTCTGCTTTGAAATAGTCAAGAAATGCTCTGAAAGTAGAACATTTACAAAATTCTGAGAAAATTGAGATATTTAGAAATAAAAAGGATACTTTTGTTGAAAAGTAAAGTAAGGGAAATTAAAAAACTTTTCTTGGCTGCTTTACTGGGTACATCACTTAAATTAATAGATTCTGATAGCACTTCAGTTTTTTGTCGTTTTCTCCATGTTGCAGCTAAAACATTGGGGTTCCGATGACTTAAGAAACTTGCTCAAGGTCGTATAACTAGCCAATTTTAAGTTTGAACCAAGGTATCTGACTCCAAACCCTTTGTGCTTTTCTTTCTGCCAATGTACAGTATGCTAATTAACCCTTGAAATAGCGGGAAAAGCAATGAAAAAAAAAAAGATGGGGTACTTTTAGTAATTTAAGTAAGTCCGGGAAATACTATATATTATATCCCTGTTGGGAAATAATCCTCCCTGGATCTCACATGTTTCTATAAAGTCTGAGTCTTGTGATCACAAGCATTTATAGTCAATTTAATACCGTATAAGGAGGCATTCCAGGATGGTAAAGTCACTTTTCTCCCCTCCTTAAAGAGTTTCGCTTATATTCCTGGGTGCTATATATAATATCTCTCTCTATAGGGGAAGATAGATGGGTCTGCTAGCAGTGCTGTAATAAGATTGGGAATTTCCTAAGCTCAGTGTTCTTAGATGTAACCCAGACCCCTTTGTGCACAGCATCCTTTGGGTCCTCTGCACATCACTGCCAGAGGACTTGAGAAGCAGGAAGGAACCAGTGGAAGCAGGGAGCTCAGGATGCCTCCTATGATGAAAATAACAAACTGTCTAAATCCTTTTGAGCGCACTGGCTCCTTACCAGCCAAATCTGTGGAAGTGTGAAAACCACTGCAGACACTTCCCACCATACTACTGCTAAGGGACCACTTTACCATTTGACAATCCTCCTCCCAGGATCGAAACGCCAAGTAAGGGCTCTGAGAAGACTCCTGATAAAGAAACCCATTGATTTTTCATTTTACCTAATGTAAGTTGTTTTCCTCTCTTACATTTTAATGGGGAATGCAGCACCACAGAGACAGAAAGCCAGGCAGCCAAACCAGTTAGGGGGTCTCTGAAATAACACTGCTAGCTGCTACTTTCCCTGTCTCATGTGAAGGTTCATTCTCCCCCTTCCTAAGCACAGCCAGAAAAAATTAATGAAGCAGATGCTATGTCTCTGAGTCACTGCTTTTATTTGCTTTTCCTGTATCTACCACCTTCTTAGCTTTAATTTACATGGCTTGGCATATTCTTAAGGATAAATTCATAACAGAGATTTTCTCCTCTTCGACAGCAGCTCTGGAGGAAGCCTTAAGCATTAGATCAAGAATCCACTTAGATGTCTATGCCTCTTCTACATCTTTTCTTCTGCTTACTCTAATTGCTATGCAGTCCTATCTCACCTCTAAAAGACAGCCTGACTTTCTTCTCCCTCCTGTTGCATTCCTTGTATAATGCTATAAACAACTAAGAAGCTGAAATAATGTGATATGAACTCTCCTAAAAGCCAGTCTGAGAATTCTGCAAGAGGAACTACTAAGTAATAAAAAAGAACTCAGCTGGAAATATACATTGAAAAAATAAATTCGAAGATGGCTTTAAATGCTTTTGAGTAGTCCCATGGAATATAAAAGGAAGCAGAACACAGAAAATGATAAACAAAACTTTCAAGACTGACTCAATAAGTAGCTCTTAAAATAGCTATGAGTTTCCCTCCTAACACCCAGCAGGCTGCCAATAACCAGACAGACAAATCGAACAATTAAATGCTATGAGGCAGCATCAGAAAATATCTGTAACATAACATTCTAAGTGGAGCCTTAACCACTTCCTGAATAAAACGGTACCAGGCACAAGAAGTTGTTTCTGACCTGGACAAAATAGTGAAAAACTGTGAAATATATTCCTTTACTGAGCATCTATGATGTGAGTGATAATCTAACGTGTACTGGGAATGCTGAGATGAGAGACACAAACTTTTTTTAAAATGTAGGGAAGGAAACAGATGAGTAAAATAGTCAATAAAATATGGTCCGGTAAGGTTATAAAACATATATGTGTATATATATGTCACTGGGAGATTGAAGGAAAAGCATTTCACTCAGATGTGGGGTATTTGAAGTGCTGAGTCCTGAGATGAGAATTTCTAGGTGAGTAGAAATTTTCCAGGTTAAAACAAAATCAGCAAATAGATTCTCGGAGGATGTGGTGTGCTCAAGGGCATCAAGCCATGAAAGGGCTGGTGCTTCGGGTGATACCACAGGCCAGTTTTGCTGGAATGCTGAAAACATGTGAAGACAGATTGTGAAATGACTCTGGAGCTTGAAAAGAGGCAAAATCATGAAAGGCCTTTTGTGTCACACTAAGGGACTTGGATTTCATCCTGAGAATGAAGAAGAAAACCACTGACATTATTTATAGTCAGGTCTCACTCTTTTTCTTTTTTCTTTCTATGGCCTTCAGTGGGTGCTAATACCGGTTGGCAGAATGGCCAGTTCAAAATTTGTACATCAAGGTGTGCATTTCTGACAAAAATAAATTCAAAATTAGTTAATTTTTTAAAAAAATAGTGTATTACTGCATCTTGACTTAGTTTGCTTTTCTCTCCTGGTACAAATTATGTTTCTAGATGTATAAAACAAGTCTTTGCATTTTACAAAGATTTTTTTTTTTAAAGCCAATATAAGGAGACTTCATTGTCCATTTTATATGATATGAAGTTCCAATCAGGAAGAATCTGGTAGTGTTAATAAAGAATCCTTAAAAGAAAGAACCATGTTTAACTGGAACATTATAATGCACATATTCCAGCGGCAATTAGAATGAGGGAGGGAATATGGGCAATAGATCCATGAGAATTTGGCATACGTGGTCCCTAGTTTTATTTACACAGACTAATAGATTTTAGCCAAGCTTGGATATAGAAGTCCTGAAATCTCTTTCATTCATCTTCTGTCTTCTAGAGATTACTCTTTCAAGTGATCCCATCATTGTCAGCCTCTCTGATAAGATCTTAGACCCTGGCTGCAGTTTGACTCCAGAGTACTCTCTCCTTTATATTATCTCCACAGACCTGGCTCTTTTGCAGAGAGAAATTTTTAAATTTGGGACACTGAAAAGAGCACATCAAATGCTGAAAACTGTTTCATGAGGATCAAAAGCTTGCTTGCTTTATGCAGCTACTTTTGGTAAATATTGCTTAAATAGTTACTCGGAAGCCTTCAGCTGAATTACTAAATGATATTGCAGTGAACATCAAAAAATGGGAGGATAGTTCATTTAATCTGAAAAGCTGCATATTTTTATATTATTTATACTGCAGTACTTGACATATCTCACTGTTTTTCATTTCCTTGCAACTGCTGGCCTCTTAAATTGCTTTTTTTTTTTTTTTTTTTTTTTATAGAATGTTTCTATTACATTCAGGTTTCTTTCTTGCTGAGTTATTTTGAAAAAAGAGAGAGAAAACAGTTTTGATCTCAAATATACTGGTATTAAGATTTATGTATACAATTAAAAAATTTTAAATGTAGGCCTAGAAAGACATTAGAATTGTTTCAGACTTTTTATAGCATCAAATTTCCTCAAGTCTCTACCATTGCTTAAATTTGTCACCCAGCTAATGTGTATGAGATCAGTAAATTAGAGGTACTGGCATTTCTATATGATGAAAACTTCTATTTAATTAATTATATTTATTCCCTTGAAGGCTAATAGTGCATCAAGATTAAAAAAAATATGTATATGTATATATAAAGAAGATACATTTATAATATTTATTTTTAGTTAGAACACATTGTTGTCCCATATACATAACATTTTGATGTATTAAGAAAGAAAACAGCTGTTAAATAAACCACCTATTAGATTGAATGGGAAAGTGTTTCCATCCTATACCTATCGATTTAATCCTTTTGCTTAAATTTGCAATTTATGAATGCAATTTTAGGGAAGGAAAAAACTTCATTTATACTGAGTATGATAAGGATGTTGCAGGGAAAAAATTCTATTTGCTGTGACCTTGAGGGGTTGGGCTTTTGTAATATGCCAAATACTCTCTGTACAATGTAGTGGTAGAATTCTAGCTTTTGAATGAACCTGGTTTCAGAGGATTGGTCCATATTGGGGTCATCATTTCAATCAGGAAGTACCGACTCGCTATATATATTCAAAAGGTTACTGATATGTAATATGGCACATTTTCATTTTTTCTTCTGATTCTTATTTTTTTGGAAGTAGCTTGTTTAATCCATTTTTAACCATACAATAATTGCACTGATGTGGAGTTAAAATTATGTGAAGTTGGGTAATGCATACAAAATCTTGATGTTAAACATAAAATAGATTCACTCCATTTTCAGATGGGAAATTTTCTGAGCAAAGACTGTCTAAAAATGATTCTGATATATCCCAAAGAGGTTGTAACTTGAGTCACTTATCTACTAATTAATGTATTCACTCTTGTTCATTCATTCATTAAGTGAGCATTGTGTGGACAATGAAGCACTGCTAAGGCA